TAGAAAAGATAAGTTAAATGAGAAGATTTAGTTGGAGAGATAAGAAAGTCTAGTTAAGGGGTAAAAAGAGATATTAACCTGTAAAAAAGTACACCTAGCAAGAGTAGTATCTCTTGGTGTAATATCTTCTCTACAAAGTATCTCTACACGTAAATCACTCAACTATAAATGACTCTTATATTTTAATTTGGACACAAAAAAAATACATTGTATTTTGGAATAGATATTACTTAAAATGTGATTCTTCATAAAAATTAACTCATGGTAATTTGAGATTTTTCACTCCGACATATACTTATTAGATCCTAAAATGAATACTATAATGCAAAACACACCATGTATTCGACTCCGGCAGGATTCGTCGTGCATGTTAGACGGCCCCCTACATGATATGACAAAAAGACTAGGAAAAACGTGACACCAAATTTTATTTTCTTAAAATGAAAAATGGAAATCAAGTTTTTAAAAATGAGAGATAGATATATCAATAATATACAAGAGAAAAAAATGAATGAATAATTGTAACGTAGTATAGGACTGAAACCTAAAAAGAAAAAAGAAGCATCAAAAAGGTTGCCAAAATATAAAGAAACATCAAAAGAAAATCTGACTGGCAATTTCCATAAAGCCCAACCTATTTATTTTGCCTACACCATGAGCCCCACTCATTAGTTGCCTATTAGTATGTTGTTACTAATTTAAGAGCCTCTCTAAAATGTTTTAAGTTTAAATTCCCTGATCATAGTTTTGCTTAAGCCGACCAGGCCATATGCATGAGTTTCAAATTTAATATCCGTTGCTAACAAATGATTCAATATATTCATTTTTGTTTAATATTAGGTGAACATTTCTACTTAAAGCAGGAGCAGAAAAACAGTCAAATAGAAAGAAAACAAAAGATATATATATTAGCAATTTGAATTTAATATTTGGATTCCAAAACTCAATAGGTCTCTTCTATTCTACTATTCACAACACACACTCTCTCTCTCTCTATCTAACTTTCTTTTGACTTAAGACCAAATGAAT